AATCAAAGAGCATTCAGAACTCCACCAACGATGGAATTGAACCAATCTTGGCACACAAAACTCCCAATGACCAACAGAAAATACTGGAAGAGTTTGGTGGGCACTGACCTTGAGTTTTGGAGTTGTAGTTCACCTACATCCAGAGAGCACTGTGGACACAAACAATGGTGGATCTGGACCAAACTTGGCACAAAGACTCCATATGCCCAAATGTGAACACTGGTGGAGTTTGGAGAAAATAGACATTTGGGAGTTGTAGTTGCTGAGGTTTATAGTTCATCTAGAATCAAAAAGCTTTCTTAACCCCACTGATGATAGAATTGGGCCAAACTTCCCACACAGAACCCCCATGACCAAGGGAAAAGAAGGACGAAGGAAGGAAGGACCAAGGAAGAGAAGGACAGGCGGAGAGATCTTGAGCCTTCTCTGCCAAAAGGTTTCATAAGACCATCGGAAAATATATGTTTTCTGATGGTCTTTGGTGACCCCTCTGACACCCCCTCACGCCCCCCCCCCTCGGGGGTCCCGAGGTTGAGAAACGCTAGTTTAAGCAGAGGCTGAACGGCCGTCTATCTGGAGTGCTTTGACTGTGCATAGGGATGCACAATCAAAGCACTCCTGATAGATGGCCGTTCAGCCTGGCAGAATGGGGTTGGACTGGGTGGCCCTTGGTTCTACAGATCACAACAAATCCAATCCGTCAGGTAGATTTCTCTCCAGCCGGCATTCATGCCTCCAGTTTGGCTCCCTTCCCCTCCCGTTCGTTCGTTCGTTCGTTCGTTCATTCGTTCCTTTTGCTAATCCCTCTGCTCTAGAAAGTCTTTGTTCTCTCCTTGTTTTGTAAGAACCTGGCAAACCTCCCATCCCACCCTCCAAAACTGCAGAGAGACACGGAAGGACATTCCTTTGGGGACGGTCGGTGGCATTCGGCCGGACAGTCCCAGCCCCATGTCCCACACCTGGACCCACAGCGCTTCCTATTCTCTTGCCATAATGGGGGGTTTGTTGTCGTCAGAGGTGGGCAGGTAGGACACCTTCCACCCACAATAGCACTCAATTCAATGGGAAAAGCCACCCTCCTTACCCGCTTTCTGCTGCGGAGAACGTTTCTAAGGTTGGCACCTGAAAGCATTGCAAAGCATTGATCCATGGCAGTTAAAGAGACATCAAACTACAGTTTAGGTCAGGCATGGGCCAACTTCGGCTCTCCCACGATTCCTAACAGCCGGTATATTAAGACCTTCGGCATATTAAGACCCTGGAAAACTACAACTTTCTGCAAATAATGCAATTTGACACCACTTCGCTTGCCATGGCTCAGTGCTATGGGATCGTGGAGAGGTTGTTTGATGCAACAACAACCCTCTTTGGCATACTAAGACCTTGGAAAACTACAACTTTCTGCAAATAATGCAATTTGACACCACTTTGCTTGCCATGGCTCAGTGCTATGGGATCGTGGAGTGGTCATTTGATGCAACAACAGCCCTCTTTGGCATACTAAGACCTTGGAAAACTACAGCTCCCCACCATTATTGCAATTTGTCACCACTTCGTTTGCCATGGCTCAGTGCTATGGGATCGTGGAGTGGTCATCTGATGTGACACCAGCCCTCTCATGTATACTAAGACCTTGGAAAACTACAACTTTGCACAATTAATGCAATTTGAGGCATATTAAGATGTTGGAAAACAACAACTTTCCGCAATTAATGCAATTTAAGGCATACTAACACCTTGGAAAACTACAACTCTCTACCATTATTGCAATTTGACACCACTTCGTTTGCCATAGCTCAGTGCTATCGGATCGTGGAGTGGTCGTTTGATGCAACAACAGCCCTCTTTGGTATATTAAGACCTTGGAAAACTTCAACTTCCCACCATTAATGCAATTTCACCCCACTTCACTTGCCATGCTCACTATGGGATTATGGAGTTGTCGTATGATGCAGCATCAGCCCTCTTCGGCATTCTAAGACCTTGGAAAATTACAACTCCCCACCATTAATACAATTTGACACCACTTCTCTTGCCAGGGCTTAGCGCTATGGGATCGTGGAATGGTCATTTGATGCAACACCAGCCCTCTTCGGCATATTAAGACCTTGGAAAACTGCAACTTTCTTCAAATAGTGCAATTTGACACCACTTCCCTTGCCATGGCTCAATGCTACAGGATCTGGAGTGGTCATTTGATGAGGCACCAGCCCTCTTCGACATATTAAGACCTTGAAAAACTATTGTGCCATTGTCGTTTGATGCAACACCAGCCCTGTACGGCATACTAAGACCTTGGGAAACTACAACTCCCCACAATTAATGCAATTTGACACCATTTTGCTTGCCACGGCTCAGTGCTATGGGATCGTAGCGTTGTTGTTTGATGAGGCACCAGACCTCCAGTATATTAAGACCTTGGAAAACTATAACTCCCCACCATCCCCCTAGCATTGAGCCAAGGCTAAAGTGCCTTAACTCTACAGTGTAGATGCACCCAAGGTTCCTATATTCCAACTCCATTCAAGGTACCTCGAAAGCACCAAGCTTTGGGTCAGAAGGAAAAGGAGGGCAAGTTGACTGACCCACTGTCTCTCTTTGTCACCTTCCAAGGTGGTTTTCTGGCTTTGAGGAGCTTGGAAACACATCCAACAGACTTCCCAACCTCTGAGCATGCCTTCCATAGATGTGGGTGAAACGTCAGGAGAGAATGCTTCTGGAACTTGGCCAGAAAGTCGGGAAAACTCACAGCAACCCAGTGTTTTTAGCCATGAAAGCCTTCGACAACACACCAATTATTATTATTGTTGTTGTTGTTAATCTGTTGTGAGTTTTCCGGGCTGTATGGCCGTGTTCCAGGAGCATTCTCTCCTGACATTTCGCCTACATCTCCGGCAGGCATCTTCAGAGGCTGTGAGATCTGTAGGGAACTTGGAAAATGGTTTCCAACAGACCCCCCAACCTCTGAGGATGCCTGCCATAGATGTGGGTGAAACGTCAGGAGAGAATGCTTCTGGAATACGGCCAGATAGTTCGGAAAACTCACAGCAACCCAGTGATTTCAGCCATGAAAGTCTTCGACAACAAACCTATTATTATTATTATTATTATTATTATTATTGTTATTATTATTGTGTTGTGAGTTTTCCGGGTTGTATGGTCAAGTTCCAGGAGCATTCTCTCCTGACATTTCACCCACATCTCTGGCAAGCATCCTCAGAGCTTGGGAGGTCTGTTGGAAATCAAGATTGCCAGACAGTCCGGAAAACTCACAGCAACCCAGTGATTTCAGCCATGAAGGTCTTCGACAACACACCTATTATTATTATTATTATTATTATTATTATTATTATTATTATTATTAAAGTTTTGTGAGATTTCCGGGCTGTATGGCCATGTTCCAGAAGCATTCTCTCCTGACATTTCAACTACATCTCTGGCAGGCATCCTCAGAGGGTGTGAGGTCTGTAGGAAACTAGGAAAATTGTATCCAACAAACCTCCCAACCTCTGAGCATGCCTGCCATAGATGTGGGCGAAACGTCAGGAGAGAATGCTTCTGGAACACGGCCAGACAGTTCGGAAAACTCACAGCAACCCAGTGATTTCAGCCGTGAAAGACTTCGACAACACACCAATTATTATTATTATCATTGTTAATGTGTTGTGAGTTTTCCAGGCTGTATGGCCATGTTCCAGAAGCATTCTTTCCTGACATTTCGCCTGCATCTCCGGCAGGCATCCTCAGAGCTTGTGAGGTCTGTTGGAAACTAAGGTGGCCAGAGAGTCCAGAAAACTCACAGCAACCCAGTGATTTCAGCCATGAAAATCTTTGACAACACACCAATTATTATTATTGTTGTTGTTAATGTGTTGTGAGATTTCCGGGCTGTCTGGTCATGTTCCAGGAGCATTCTCTCCTGATATTTCACCTGCATCTCTGGTAGGCACCCTCAGAGGTTGTGAAGTCTGCAGGAAACTAGGAAACTAGGAAAATGGTTTCCAACAGACCCCCCAACCTCTGAGGATGCCTGCCATAGATGTGGGCGAAACGTCAGGAGAGAATGCTTCTGGAACATGGCCAGTCAGCCCGGAAAACTCACAAACCCAGTGATTTCAGCCATGAAAGTCTTTGACAACACACCAATTGTTGTTGTTGTTGTTAATGTGTTGTATGGCCAAGTTCCAGGAGCATTCTCTCCTGACATTTTGCCTACATCTCCGGGAGGTATCCTCACAGGTTATGAGATTTGTAGGGAACTTGGGAAACGGTTTCCGACTGACCCCCCAACCTCTGAGCATGCCTTCCATAGATGTGGGTGAAACGTCAGGAGAGAATGCTTCTGGAACACGGCCAGACAGTTTGGAAAACTCACAGCAACCCAGTGATTTCAGCCATGAAAGTCTTCGACAACACGCCAGTTATTATTATTATTATTATTATTATTATTATTAATAATAATAATAATAATCTGTTGTGAATTTTCTGGCCATGTTCCAGAAGCATTCTCTCCTGACATTTCCCCTGCATCTCCGGCAGGCATCCTCAGAGCTTGTGAGGTCTGTTGGAAACTAAGATGGCCAGAAAACTCACAGCAACCCAGTGATTTCAGCCATGAAAGTCTTTGACAACACACCAATTGTTGTTGTTGTTGTTAATGTGTTGTATGGCCAAGTTCCAGGAGCATTCTCTCCTGACATTTTGCCTACATCTCCGGGAGGTATCCTCACAGGTTATGAGATTTGTAGGGAACTTGGGAAACGGTTTCCGACTGACCCCCCAACCTCTGAGCATGCCTTCCATAGATGTGGGTGAAACGTCAGGAGAGAATGCTTCTGGAACACGGCCAATTACAACCCCCCACTTGGGAACCCATTCCTTCTCTCTCCCCAAATCCTTTGCTTTGCCTGGATGGCTGTGGAGTGCCCTGAGCCTCTTTGCATCTCAATCCAAATAGGAAGAGTGTGGCGTATTAATGAGTAATCAAGGTAGTTAATTACCTGGCTGCGCAGGAGGCCCCGGATCTCTGGGAAGTTAGCGTGGTGGCGGTGGTGGTGCCGGGAGGAGGGAGCCGAGGACACACACTCACCCCCACTCGGAGGAAGGAAGGAAGGAAGGAAGGAAGGAAGGAAGGAAGGAAGGAAGGAAGGAGAGGAAAAAGGAAAACACAAAAAGGAGAGAGAGAGAGAGAGAAAGGTCCTCCCTCACCTGGGAAAAATGCAGGAACTGGGCACCTAGGTGCGCCCGCTGCTGCCCATGCCAAGGGGAACGCCAAGGTCCTTCCTCCTCCTCCTCCTCCTCCTCTTCCCCCTCTTCTTCTTTTCCTCTCTTCTTCCTCCTCCTCCTCTTCCTCCTCTTCTTCTCTCCAAGCTACCAAACCGAGAGGCTCCCCAAAGAGGAGGGAGGGGCCTTCATTAGAGGCTCATTAGCATAGCCAGAGCCAGGGAGGGAGAAGAAGGATGGAACGCCGCCGCATCCCGGCGCGTCTCAGCCAATCAGCGCGCCGCACGCCCCAAAGGGACTCAGGTGAGCCGCCAATCGCATCCTCCGGTCCCCCAACGGCCCCTCTTCCTGCCTCTCTCTGAAGGGAGCCGCTGCGGAGGAGTCCCTGCGGGAGAGAATCATAGAATCCAAGAGTTGGAAGAGACCTCCTGGGCAATCATCCAGTCCAACCCCATTCTGCCAAGAAGCAGGAATATTGCATTCAAAGCACCCCTGACAGATGGCCATCCAGCCATAGAATCAAAGAGTTGGAAGAGACCTCCTGGGCAATCATCCAGTCCAACCCCATTCTGCCAAGAAGCAGGAATATTGCATTCAAATCACCCCGACAGATGGCCATCCAGCCTCTGTTTAAAAGCTTCCAAAGAAGGAGCCTCCACCACACTCCGGGGCAGAGAGTTCCACTGCTGAACGGCTCTCACAGTCAGGAAGTTCTTCCTCATGTTCAGATAGAATCTAGAATCAGAGTTGGAAGAGACCTCCTGGGCCATCCAGTCCAACCCCATTCTGCCAAGAAGCAGGAATATTGCATTCAAATCACCCCTGACAGATGGCCATCCAGCCTCATAGAATCAAAGAGTTGGAAGAGACCTCCTGGGCCATCCAGTCCAACCCCATTCTGCCAAGAAGCAGGAATATTGCATTCAAATCACCCCTGACAAATGGCCATCCAGCCTCTGCTTAAAAGCTACCTAAGAAGGAGCCTCCACCACCCTCCCTCCGGGGCAGAGAGTTCCACTGCTGAACGGCTCTCACAGTCAGGAAGTTCTTCCTCATGTTCAGGTGGAATCTCCTCTGAACATTAGGACAACAACAACCAGAGGTAATTTACAACGGTAAGCAAAGAGTATGTTGGCGCACCCCCCCCCCCCCCAACCAATCACTGATATATATTTTTTGTTTGTTGTGGGAGTTCTGTGTGCCATATTTGGTTCAATTCCATCATTGGTGGAGTTCAGAATGCTCTTTGATTTTAGGTGAACTATACATCCCAGTAACTACAATTTATTTCTTTTGTTGTTGTTCATTTGTTCAGTCCCCTCCAACTCTTCGTGACCTCATGGACCATCCCACGCCAGAGCTCCCTGTCGGCCGTCCCCACCCCCAGCTCCTTCAAGGTCAGTCCAGTCCCTTCAAGGATGCCATCCATCCACCTTGCCCTTGGTCGGCCCCTCTTCCTTTTGCCTTCCACTTTCCCCAGCATCATTCCCTTCTCTAGGCTTTGCTGTCTCCTCATGATGTGGCATTCAAAGGACTTCAACTTTGTCTCTAGTCTCCTTCCCTCCAATGAGCAGTCGGGCTTTATTTCCTGGAGGATGGACTGGTTGGATCTTCTCGCAGTCCAAGGCACTCTCAGCACTTTCCTCCAACACCACAGCTCAAAAGCATCGATCTTCCTTCGCTCAGCCTTCCCTATTATGGTCCATCTCTCACATCCGTAGGTGACTACAGGGAAGACCATGGCTTGGACTAGGCAATGGATCTTGGTTGCCAGTCTGATGTCTCTACTCTTCACTATTTTATCAAGACTGGACATTGCTCTCCTCCCAAGAAGGAAGCGTCTCCTGATGTCCTGGCCACAGTCTGCATCTGCACTCATCTTCCCACCTAGAAATACAAACCCTGTCACGGCCTCCACGATTTCTCCCTCTATTTCCCAGTTGTCAATCATTCTTAATCTTGGGTTTTTTTGACGTTTAGCTGCAACCCAGCTTTCTAACTACCCTTCTTTCTCATCATGCCAGGAAGGGAATGCTCAAGATCCTGCAAGGAAGACTCCAGCCACACATGGAGCGAGAGTTGCCAGGTGGACAAGCTGGGTTTAGAAAAGGCAGAGGAACGAGAGACCAGATTGCCAATATCCGGATGCTGGAGAATGGAGAAAGGCAGGGAGTTTCAGAAAAACATCTATTTCTGCTTCATTGACTATTCTAAAGCCTTTGACTGTGTGGATCATCATAAATTGTGGCAAGTCCTTGGTGGGATGGGCATCCCAAGCCCCCTTCCCTCTCTCCTGAGGAATCTGCACAAGGACCAAGGAGCCACAGTCAGAACTGACCACGGAACAGGAGACGGGTTCAAGATTTATTTATTTATTTATTTCGGTTGCTTCTACCCCGCCCTTCTCACCCCGGGGGGGGGGGGGGGGGACTCAGGGCGACTTACAAAAGCGAGGCACAATTCGATGCCCGCATCACATAACAACAATAGGACAATAACATCAGTTAACAAGACAGCAATTCTAGCAATAACAACAATTAACAGACGACAATATTTATTTATTTATTTATTAATTACTTATTTATTTTTTACTTTACTTGTATACCGCTCTTCTCAGCCATCAGGCGACTCAGAGTGGTTAACAACCAGTACAAAATCATTAGTCATTTAAAACAGTAGTATCAATTAATTAACATCAAAAACATCAATGCAACAATAGAGCAAAACAACAATCCATCACGTCTCATCAATAGAATCAGCATCCGATCTCGTTGTCCATTAATCCATATTCCAGAAATCAATCAATTGCACTGTTTAGTTGAAAGCCTGTTCGAAGAGCCAGGTCTCCACTCTCTTCCGGAATGCCAGTAAGGAGGGGGCCGATCTAATGTCTGTAGGAAGGGCGTTCCACAGCCGGGGGACCACCACTGAGCAGGCCCTGTCTCTCGTCCCCGCCAGGCGTGCTTGTGAAGCCGGCGGGACCGAGAGCAGGGCAAAAACAACCATAAAACCAATAAAAGCAATAAAACCAATACAAACCTCATGGACGGTCAGCGTTTCACAATCTCATAGTTAAATTCCAATTCCACAATTGTCAGTCCTTTCAGTCCTATCCATCTGGTTTCCATATCTAATTGTCAGATTGCCCAAAGGCCTGGTCCCACAACCACGTCTTTACCTTCCTCCTGAAGGCGAGGAGGGATGTTGATGCCCTAATTTCCCCCGGGAGTGAGTTCCACAGGTGAGGGGCCACCACTGAGAAGGCCCTGCTCCTCATCCCCACCAGCCTCACTTGTGATAACGGTGGGGTCGAGAGCAGGGCCTCCCCAGATGATCTCAAATTCCGGGGTGGGACGTAGAGGGAGATACGTTTGGACAGATACACAGGACCGGAACCGTAAAGGGTTTTGTAGGTCAAAACCAGCATCTTGAATTGTGCTCGGAACTGAACCGGCAGCCAGTGGAGCTGGCACAGCAGGGCGGTGGTGTGCTCCCTGTATGTCACTCCGGTAAGCAATCCGGCTGCCGCTCATTGGACCACTTGAAGTTTCCAAACAGTCTTCAAGGGCAACCCCACGTAGAGTGCGTTGCAGTAGTCTATACGGGATGTAATAAGAGCGTGGACCACTGTAACCAGATCAGACTTCCCAAGGTACGGGCGCAACTAGTGCACAAGTTTTAATTGCACAAAAGCTCTCAAAAGATTGGGAAAGACATCCGGCAAGGCTGCATCCTCTCACCCAGCCTTCTTAACGTGTATGCAGAACACATCATGCGAGGATGTGCGGGGCTTGAGGAATGCAAGGCTGGGGTGGAAATGGCTGGAAGAAACATTCACAACCTCAGATATGCAGATGACACCACTCTGATGGCCGAAAGCGAGGAGGAGCTGAGGAGCCTTCTCATCAAGGTGAAAGAAGAAAGCGCAAAAGCCGGGTTGCAGCTAAACGTCAAAAAAACCAAGATTATGGCAACAAGAATGATTGACAACTGGGAAATAGAGGGAGAAAACGTGGAGGCCGTGACAGGGTTTGTATTTCTAGGTGCAAAGATGACTGCAGATGCAGACTGTGGCCAGGAAATCAGGAGACGCTTCCTTCTTGGGAGGAGAGCAATGTCCAGTCTCGATAAAATAGTCAAGAGTAGAGACATCAGACTGGCAACCAAGATCCATTGCCTAGTCCAAGCCATGGTCTTCCCTGTAGTCACCTACGGATGTGAGAGATGGACCTTAGGGAAGGCTGAGCCAAGGAAGAGAGAGGCTTTTGAGCTGTGGTGTTGGAGGAAAGTGCTGAGAGTGCCTTGGACTGCGAGAAGATCCAACCAGTCCATCCTCCAGGAAATAAAGCCCGACTGCTCACTGGAGGGAAGGAGACTAGAGACAAAGCGGAAGTCCTTTGAATGCCACATCATGAGGAGACAGCCAAGCCTAGAGAAGGGAATGATGCTGGGGAAAGTGGAAGGCAAAAGGAAGAGGGGCCGACCAAGGGCAAGGTGGATGGATGGCATCCTTGAAGGGACTGGGCTGACCTTGAAGGAGCAAGGGGTGGTGACGGCCGACAGGGAGCTCTGGCGTGGGCTTGTCCATGAGGTCACGAAGAGTCGGAGACGACTGAACGAATGAACAACAACAACTACTACAACTTGCATATGTCAAGGTCTATTTTCCCCCAAGAGCGCCTCAAGAGCACCCCTGGGCAAAATCAACTATACTGTAAGTGCTTACTTTGCGTAATGGTTGAGCCGCCCCTGACGGTAAGCAAGGAGTAGTTTGCCCCCCCCCCCCCAACCAATTACTGATATATATTTTCTGTTCATCGTGGGAGTTCTGTGTGCCATATTTGGTTCA